GTCAAGATGTTTGAGGATGAAGCTGCCTATTGAGTGGTAAAGGCTGGTAATGCTGGGGGAGTGAGGGCACCATTAAATGTCATGATGAATTAGAGTGGTTAGGTAAGGTGGGGCTAAGTCGTGGAAGGGCTTAAAGATGTGATGTGGTGGAGCAGAGGAACCAATGCAGTGATGCAAAGGGAGGGGTTTTGTGGCCAGAGTGAGGAGCCAGGAAAATGACTGCAGCAGCATTTTGAATAGACTTGAGAGGGTTTACATAGACATTTACAGCATTCAGGTACCTCTGTGAACTGGGATGGATTGGTACAATGTAATATAAGGCTCTGTGAATGAAATGCAGGCAAACTGGAAACACCTATTCCTCATTCTGTTAATTGGTCCGGCCCTTGTCTTACTGGGAGTTCTACAGAACCCAGCACTCACCCCCACACTCAACATCAACATACTGCGTACACACAAGGAGGTTGAATTAAGGTAGCGCAGGCAGGTTTAATTTTTGGCATTTACTAACTTTTGAGTGCATGACTTTGTAACCTTAATGTTCTTGCAATAGCTCTGTGTGTGTGTGTGTGTGTGTGTGTGTGTAAGTCCCTAGGTTTTTAAAAAAGCAAACTGAAAAAACAAATTCCCTCAGGTGACATCATATTGACACCTACATGGGTACCATAGTTTGAATCTTTAAATCCACCGTGCAGACTGTTGCCGCTTGAACCGATAGAGGAACTGATAGCAATAGTAGATTGTCATCCTCTATGTACACCAGCACTAGAAGAGGGGATGAGGCTCCCACTTTTCAGGTGGGATTCTCAGATGTCTGCTGACAGCAGAGGAATGATGTGATTCAGGAATCTTGAATTTATCCAAGGCTCTGGAGGGGAGTGGGCTTTAGCGGACACAATCTCCTGCCTGTTTCCCCAACGTTTGACACCTCCTATCCCATTCCCTCCATCCTGTCCCTGTCCCTTCTCTTCCCCGCTCCTGGCTTCTTGTCCCAGTTCCATTCCCTTTGCCTACCCAGTTACAAACTCTACTCCTCGGGTTTCTTGTCCCTGTTTTCTTACCTAGCCAGACCTTACCCATCTGGGCTCACTGTCCAAGCTCCAGTCCTCCCCTGACCTTGCTTCCAAATCACTCCCCCACCACACACCCCAATCTCAGTCTTCGTGCCCAGCCAGTCCCAGTTCCCCACTCCTGGCTTCCATCTGAAATGTCTCTCCCAACCCCACTAGTTCCCACTCATTCTCCCTTCACACTCCTCCTTCTCTCTTTCCCCTACCTCCTGAATTACCCCAGTTTCTTCAATAGCCAGTCCCACTTCTCTCCCTGCATCCTCGCTCCTTGTTAGTTCTGTCTTTCCTTGTCCCCAACGCCTTCTCCAGCCAGTCCCAGTCTCCTTCCTCCTTCCAGCTCCTCATCCCGCTCTGTGTCCACCTTCAATTGGCTGGCACCCAGTCACCCCCAGTTCCGTTGCCGGTTCCCAGTCCCAGTCTCCTTGTCTAATTAGCTCTTGCCTCCCCTCCCACCCAGCTCCAAGTTCCAGTCTCTCCGCCCAACCAGTTCCAGCCTCTCTTCCACAATTGCCAGTCTCCCCAAAGGTGATTTTGTCTGGTGTCAAGGTTCCTCCCCCACTCTGAACTCTAGGGTACAGATGTGGGGACCTGCATGAAAAAACCTCCTAAGCTTATCTTTACCAGCTTAGGTCAAAACTTCCCCAAGGTACAAAATATTCCCCCCCGTTGTCCTTGGACTGGCCGCTACCACCACCAAACTAATACTGGTTACTGGGGAAGAGCTGTTGGACGCGTCTTTCCCCCCAAAATACTTCCCAAAACCCTGCACCCCACTTCCTGGACAAGGTTTGGTAAAAAGCCTCACCAATTTGCCTAGGTGACTACAGACCCAGACCCTTGGATCTTAAGAACAATGAACAATCCTCCCAACACTTGCACCCCCCCTTTCCTGGGAAATGTTGGATAAAAAGCCTCACCAATTTGCATAGGTGACCACAGACCCAAACCCTTGGATCTGAGAACAATGAAAAAGCATTCAGTTTTTTACAAGAAGACTTTTAATAAAAAATAGAAGTAAATAGAAATAAAGAAATCCCCCCTGTAAAATCAGGATGGTAGATATCTTACAGGGTAATTAGATTCAAAAACATAGAGAACCCCTCTAGGCAAAACCTTAAGTTACAAAAAAGATACACAGACAGAAATAGTTATTCTATTCAGCACAATGCTTTTCTCAGCCATTTAAAGAAATCATAATCTAACACATACCTAGCTAGATTACTTACTAAAAGTTCTAAGACTCCATTCCTGGTCTATCCCCGGCCAAGACGACTACAGACAGACACAGACCCTTTGTTTCTCTCCCTCCTCCCAGCTTTTGAAAGTATCTTGTCTCCTCATTGGTCATTTTGGTCAGGTGCCAGCGAGGTTACCTTTAGCTTCTTAACCCTTTACAGGTGAGAGGAGCTTTCCCCTGGCCAGGAGGGATTTCAAAGGGGTTTACCCTTCCCTGTATATTTATGACATCTGGTATCGGACAGGAGTCTGTGATTTTTTTTATGAGGCCACGCCAGTAGGGGTGGAATAGCATGTTCTTAAAAATGGCACCCTGTTGCAGTGTGACTTCATACACACCAGCATGACCTTGCATGTATGGTGGGGGTTTATGCCATTCCCACAAGTACTGGAATGTCTTATACCACAGCCAGGAATGTGTGAATGGCCTAGTCCTAGTGCCCAGCCCAATCTACCTGGGTGCAGACACTAACAGGGATAGTTCTTCAGAGAGCCTGTATTCCTGGGCTGAAATATGCTTAATCACTCTATGGGGATAAGGCAGGTGCAGTCCAGTCCCATACAGCATGAGCAGTGAGGGTGGAATCTTCTGAGATTTTAGTTGTTAAGCTCCAGGACGTCTCTACCAAGCATGTGCAAATTGTGATCTTTTTTTTTTTTCAAAGGCTTATATCTCAGCCGAATTTGGGTGGATTTTCATGGAGATGAAAATCATCCCTGACACTAAAGTATCCACGTGCCCAATTTCAAGTCCCTGCTCCAAAGCAAGCAGGATATTAGAGCATTTCAGAGGCAAGGTCTCAATTTTTTAATATGGGCACAACATATTTTTTTTCCTAGGCTCCTTCTTAGAAACAGCTGGACCATTTGGGCTGAAATTTTCCACTAATATTTCAGCCCAAGGCAGAACCCAGCATGGACATTTTTAGTCCAAATAAGTGTGTCAAAGTTATAAGCAACTGAAAACAGTGTCTTATGATGGGAAATGTCAGGCAACCTATGGTCTACCAAACCTGCCTCTAATATCATAACTAATTGTATTAGCATCTCAAACACTTTCAGAGGAGAAGGAAGCTTGACTTGACTTTAGCAAAGCTTTTGATACGGTATCCCACAGTATTCTTTCCAGCAAGCTAAAGAAGTATGGGCTGGATGAATGGACTATAAGGTGGACAGAAAGCTGGCTAGATCGTCGTGCTCAACGGGTAGCGATCCATGGCTCTATGTCTAGTTGGCAGCCGGTATCAAACGGAGTGCCCCAAGGGTCGGTCCCGGGGCTGGTTTTGTTCAATATCTTCATTAATGATCTGAGGATGGCGTGGATTGCACCCTCAGCAAGTTTGCAGATGACACTAAACTGGGAGGAGTGGTAGATATGCTGAAGGGTAGAGATAGGATACAGAGGGACCTAGACAAATCAGAGGATTGGGCCAAAAGAAATCTGTTGAGGTTCAACAAGGACAAATGCAGAGTCCTGCACTTAGGACAGAAGAATCCCATGCACTAGGGACCAAGTGGCTAGGTAGCAGTTCTGCAGAAAAGGACCTAGGGGTTACAGTGGACGAGCAGCTGGATATGAGTCAACAGTCTGCTCTTGTTGCCAAGAAGGCTAACGGCATTTTGGGCTGTATAAGTAGGGGCACTGACAGCAGATCGAGGGACGTGATTGTTCCCCTCTATTCAGCATTGGTGATGCTTCATCTAGAGTAATGTGTCCAGTTTTGGGCCCCACACTACAAGAAGGATGTGGAAAAATTGGGAAGAGTCCAGTGGAGGGCAACAAAAATGATTAGGGGGCTGGAGCACATGATTTATGAGGAGAAGCTGAAGGAACTTGGATTATTTAGTCTGTGGAAGAGAAGAATGAGGGGGGATTTGATAGCTGCTTTTAACTACCTGAAAGGGGGTTCCGAAGAGGATGGATCTAGACTGTTTTCAGTGGTACGAGATGACAGAACAAGGAGTAATGGGCTCAAGTTGCAGGGAGGGAGGTTTAGGTTGGATATTAGGAAAAACTTTTTCACTAGGAGGGTGGTGAAGAACTGGAATAGGTTACCTAGGGAGGTGGTGGAATCTCCTTCCTTTGAGGTTTTAAGTTCAGGCTTGACAAAGCCCTGGCTGGGATGATTTAGTTGGGGATTGGTCCTGCTTTGAGCAGTGGGTTGGACTAGATACCTCCTGAGGTCCCTTCCAGCCCTGATATTCTATGCTATTCTAAGCTTGCACCCTCATAGTTATCGTTACTCTACAGTACAACACAGGGGAGTGATGGGTAGTTTTTAATCAGTGTAGCTTTCAGAGGTTTATTGTTCCTGGACAGGGAAAGAGAGGAATGCCACTTCAAGCAAAGTTGAGGTCTTGGTCTCCCGGAAACCAGGGGGCTTGCCCTTCCCTTCAGGCCTAAGGGTGTTAGGCTTTGCATGCACTAGTAGTCTTCCGGGAGTGGAGTCTTTTTTGGAGGGGGGGGGGGAATCCCCTTAGAGGGCAGTACATCCCCATGCCCCAGGTTTGAAGGACTGCCTATGCCTGACACAGTGAACCTGCTTCCCGCTGCCCTGGTAGGAGTAAGTGGGGGGAAGCCAGTGGCAATGCGCTGGTGGCCCAGCGGGGCCAGGGAAGGCGCAATGCCTGCCCAAGGGCGGCAGTGGCTTGGAGCGGGGAAGGCCCGGAGAGCAGGCGCCGCCCGCAGCTAACCGCTGTGACAGGCTCAGCCAGGCTTGCACGGCCCCCGCCGCGGCCGGCAGCAGACCGGGCTCGTCCCCTGGGCAGGCGAGGGAGAGCCCGGGAAGGGCTGCGGGGCTTTGCCCGAGCAGTAGGTGGGGAGCAGGGAGGGGGAATCACATGACAGCACGGGCTGGCTCGGCGGCTGCTGTGCTGGGAGCTGCCGCTGCCCGCACCGCTGCCCGCGCAGACCATGAGAGGAGGCTGCGGGGAGCCGGGCTGCTGCCGGGGCGCCGCGACCGCACTGAGCTGGAACTGCTAACGCGCCCGCGGCTGCTGCGGGGGGAGGACCAGCTCCCTCCTCCTCCTCCTCCTCCGCCTCCTCCGCAGCGCCACAGGGACCTGCCGACCCCGGGCAGCAGCGGCAGCCTCTCCAGCAGCAGCACCGCCACCACCCGCAGCAGCACCATGGACCTTTCCTTCATGGCTGCACAGGTAAGTGGCCAGTCCCGCCAGAGGCACCAGGTTTCAGTGCCTGGTTAACCCCCACCCCTCCCTTCCCCACTGGATCTGAGTCCCCTTCCTCCCCAGAAACTCCACCTCCCCCAGGGGCTGCCCGGCCGTAGCCTCGGTGCGCGGGGGGACTGACACAGGAAGATGCTGCTTTCTCCCCCCTGCCTCTGCCTGAGGCTCGGGGGTGGCCCGCGCCCGGCAGGGGCTGCGAGAGGGAGCGGGGCATGTGGATCAGAGCGGACGCATTGTGATAACTGATCTTCTCCCACTCCCTGGCCAGCAGGGAGGGTCCTTTTCCTAGTGACTCTGAAGCTCTGTTTAGAACAGAGCGAAAGACGAGCACTGACCCAAACAGCTGGCCGTAGGGAGAGTGTTTTGTATACTGTCAATCCTGCTGGGTTGGTTTTTTTTTTAAAGGGCACTTAATGATCATTTAAATTGCACATTGTCATTATTTGGCAAAGGGGAGAAGGGATTCTCCTGGTGCTCTCCGGGGAAAGAAAACCAGCAAGATTTCAATGCCAGCCAGCACCCTTTCACATAAATAAAAAATTGTATTGACTTGATCACATAAACTGTTAATCACCATCACTTTCATAACAATCATTAATAATACCCAGAACAGTTGCTTTATTTTCTCAAAGACCTTCCAGGAAATCAGTAGGCACCATATTAATAAGAGCTCCTATGCACAAATCAGCATACAGCACAACAGCTGTTTACACTGAACAGAGCTGCACTTCTGAAAATGGAGCTGCTGTTCTCCACAAGTAGTTTCACAGTTGCCTCTCTGCTGCTAGGTTTATATTCTTACAGGGGCACAACAGCAGCAACATTAGAAGCAAAATCTTATGTTTTAGTTGCCTATTAGTACTCAGCTGGCTGCCAGACCATTCGTTTATATTATGTTACGCTTCAAGTTTATGCCAGGTGATTTCATGTTAAATTGGATTATGTTGTATGAAGGGAGGAGCAAGCATGAAATTTTTCCAGTGCTAATGTCTGCTGGGTGCCTCCAAGGCTGAAATATGGTTGTATAAAATCATTGGTCATCTCCTTATGCAGCCCTGCTTTCTATTATATTTATTTTGTTTTCAGGTTCGAGCGAGAACAGTATTTTTCCCACCAGGGCCAGAGATTATTTTATCCCCTGAAATATTAATGGGAGTACAGTGCACAATTTGTTTTTCTCTCTTTAAGTGTGTGTTTGTGCATGTCTGTGTATTTATATATATTATTTTCTGGTTCTGAAAACTGTTTCTGTATATGTCATGTGTATGCGCAAACATGATAAGCTACCAAATAAGTTCTGTGGGGTAGTCCTATAAATATACAAGGAAATAAACATTCACTATGGGGAGAGCAACTCAATGGTTCCAGATATCCTCAAGGCCAAGAAATGTCTGTGACCTGGGTGGTGCTATCATGGTTTTTTTTTTGTTGTTTTTTTTTTGTATTGTTTTGTTTTGAAGAGAGAAGCTGTATCTAAGATATGCTATGAAAACACAGGGTTTTATGCCAAAAGGGCATCTTCAATAGACAGTACTTTTAGGATACTTTAAGGTCATTTTTAGTTGGTTTGTTTTTTGTTTGTTTGGTTTTGTTTTTACAGAGAGGTGGGTATGATCTGCAAAATTTGGAACTTTGCCAAAGGATTCAGCCCATCTCTCTTTAGAAATATACTAAGGGCCAAATTCTGGTCTCACTTTACATCAGTGTAATGGCCTGGACACTGTCTACAATTGCATTTTGTGAGTGTAATAAAGAGCAAAATTTGGTCCCAAGTGTGCTGTATTTCATTAATGAGATGGTAGTGTTCTCTTGTATGCAGTCCTCTCCCTCTCCACAGCTGCCTACTTCTTGGTGTGGGTATCGAGCTATGTCTTCCTGAAGGAGGACTGACCCCGTTGCCAAAGGATTCAGCCCATCTCTCTTTAGAAATATACTAAGGGCCAAATTCTGGTCTCACTTCACATCAGTGTAATGGCCTGGACACTGTCTACAATTGCATTTTGTGAGTGTAATAAAGAGCAAAATTTAGTCCCAAGTGTGCTGTATTTCATTAATGGGATGGTAGTGTTCTCTTGTATGCCGTCCTCTCCCTCTCCACAACCGCCTACTTCTTGGTGTGGGTATCGAGCTATGTCTTCCTGAAGGAGGACTGACCCCGTTGCCCAAAAGTGAAGTAGTCTCTTGTATTTAGTGGGAATGTCCATATTAAGAATATTCTATAAGCAATGCCATACTGGGGAAAAAAATCAGTGGCTTATCTAATCTGCTCTCGTTCCTTCAACAGAGTCCCGTTCTGGATTATTCAAAGGAAACTGTCATACATGCCAAGTGTCCCTGTTTAAGCGGGAATATACTTTTTAGTTACAGAGTTTTCTATGGTCCCCATTACCATAGTCCATGGGTACCTCAAAATCACTGATGCCTTTATCTGCATGGCACCACTGTGAGGAAGAGAAATATTATCATCCCTATTTTACAGATGGGGAACCAAGGCAGAGGAAAATTAAGTGATTGACTGAAAGCCACAGAGAATGTCTGTGGCATAATCTGAAATAGAACCAACGTCTCCGGAGGCCAAAAGCTGTGCCTTAAGATCATCTGCATTCCTTTCTTAGCACTATACTTGCTGTTTACTGTTCTCATTCTAAAAATCCTGTTTTCCATCTTCAGTATATTCAAAAAGCTGAAGAGCTGGGCCCTTATTTTCTCCACAAAAGTCCCCTATTAATAATTTTAATATGTACTAAATTATGCAATAGGAGTGTGTGGGTGTGTTTCTTCCTGACCCTCCAACTTTTTCCGTGAAATATGAAGATGAATAGTCTCTTTAAGGTCCTACCTGGTGAAGTTTCAGAATCTATTCTTTATACGAATGTCTGAGTGTTTTTAAAGTCAGTTATTTGTGGTGTTAATATCCTGCTGCAGTGAGTGCTAGAGAGAGAATGAGATCATCCCTCCATGGATCTGTGTATATACAGATCTCCCTCTCTTGTGGTAAGGAGAGGTGGAAGGTCTGCTGCCTCCAGAATGCTATTTCCCTACATCTCTGCCTGGTCCCTCTGAGGAGAGTTGCTGGTGTAGGGTCCACTCGGGGATAGGGTGGAGACTGGGCAAACTAGGGGAGGATTGAGTGGACCGAGGCAGGGACAAATGATTGGACTGTAGGAGGAAAAGGTTAAACAACCTGAAGCTGTATTATCTTTTCCACATGGTGCCCTCCCACCCCGTGGTCCCAGGAATTGCCATGGCCACAGGAGTCCCTGGGAGTGCAACTCCAAAGCCATGCTGCCAGGGGCCAGAGCCAGTGTAGAGGCAGAGTGCCCCTATGGACCTTCTGCACTTTTCCCAGGAGCCAAATGAATTCCAAGGGATCTGCCCATTGGGGGAAATGAGGGAACTCCATGAGAGATCCTTGTGCAGATTTCCCTCCATAAAAACCTGTCACATAGGAGGGGATGATTTGAGGTCTTATGTGTATATTATGTAAATCCATGTTAAGGGTTGCTATGTTTAGTGGAGATGCCCAACTAGCCTTCACTAGACCTTTACCACAGCACCTCTTGCTCTGTCTTCGTTCTGAACAAAACAATCCTTTCCCAAGTGGAATTTCATACAGACAGACACACGTCTCTTATTTTTGTTGCCCTTCTTTTTCCGGCCTCCTTTTCCTGCTGTTTTTGTAATTCAAAGCCAAGATGTATGGTCCGTTTGACATAACGGCATTACCCTAGGGGTTCCAATGCTCAGTGTTGTCGTCATGTCACCTACTGTATTAGGCAACTCTTCATCTTTCAAACTACCCCTTGGCTTTCAATCTGCTCGGTGTGGCTGGAGCCATCTGTGTCCATAGCGTCTGTGGTGAGATGGTGCACTGAGTTGGCCCTGCTTGACAAGGCAAGTGAGGAGTTGGTGGTTAAAGGAGAGGATGTGTGAGGACAGGAGATGAGATAGGGGCAGGAGGAGATCCAGTAAGATTGTGTTTGCCATTTTACGGCTTAAATGCCAGATGCATAAATATTATACCTGATTTTTATGACAAGGTAGGCAGTGCTTATGAGCGAAGAGCATAGCTAGTCACAAAGGCAAGGGTTAAATCTTAACTGAATTTCCTTGCTCTTGTGAGTTCATCAGGCCATTAATATTCCTGTGAGAGAGGCTTTGTATATTGATCTTTAAGTAATGCATTCACACAATACATCAGGGATAGGCAACTTTAAAATAGCAGAGGACCACTAAAACCCTTTGTTTTTAGGCTACATATTGCATAACTCAGAAATGTTTGCTACATATAGCCTGTTGACCATAAAAATAACTATGTACTAACAGTGTAAAACTGAAGTGTTTTTAAATGTAAAAGCCCCTTATAGCTCAACCTTTAATTAAATAAAAAAAAGTTTAAACAAATCTTTTATGAACCTTTTTTTTCAGTGTGCAGAAGAGCAGGGGATTAGGGGTTATCCATTAATTATGTAACACATTAAGGGTGGATCCTTAATTTTCATGTTTGTTTCAGTGTTACAAGAGTGAGAGGAAGGTCTTGAAAAAAATCACTCAAAAAGGTGTTATATAATTTATGGAGAGCCCCTTAGTAAATGAAAATAACAAAAAATAACTATGAAAGATGTTTATGTCTTTGTTGCTTTCAGTCTGCCTCCTCTCTGCTTCCGGTATACGAGATATGTTGGCATGCAAGTGTTGAGCTATATTGTAGTATGTATATTTTACCTTTGCGTGCTGTGTGTTCACCTGGGAGCACATTTGTACTGTAAATAATCTTAGAAATAAAATTGGCTTCTCTTTATTTTACATAGAGATTCAGTCTTTCAAAATAACGGCCCAATTCTGTGAGGTGCTGAACACCATCAGTGCCCAGTGGGAGCTGAGTACATGCAGGACTGAGCCCTGAATTCTGACTACATATCAGAAGGCTGTGCTGGTTAAAAAACTGACCTAGTTTAGAGGGGAAGTGA